TAAATATTGAACAATAGGGGAGAGAGGACCGACCCCTGAGGCACCCCACAAGTTAGGGGCCTAGGAGTCGACCTCTGTCCCCCTGCCAATACAGACTGCGTACGGTCGGTGAGGAAGGAGGAGAACCACTGCATAACAGTGCCTCCCACTCCTAACTCACCGAGACGCCGCAGCATGATACCGTGGTCCACAGTATCAATGTTCATCTGGACATTTGCACCCTGTATAAGGTAACTCTGTGCTAGGCCAAACTGACATCTTATTAGTTCCATTGATTATACAACAACCCAACTTTATAGGCGGTAACAAATGAAACTTAGAACAAGCATGTATTGCTATCTAATTATCTTCATTTTTTTTTCTTTTCTAAGAAAAGCAGTTTCAGTCCAGAAGTATTGTGGGATGAATATTAACCCTTTCCACAGTGCTGATTCCTGGACCCTCAGCACTTGCTGCTATGGATTTTAAGCCTGTGCTTGTACTGTAAGACCAAATGTAGAATTTACTCCAAAGAAACAGATCCTTGATTTAAGATAGTCCACTATTATTCTACAACAATAAAATATTAAGTTGAAAAATCTGAATTGTCTCAATGGTTGTATTCTCAGTAAACATTAGATAGTATCCTGTTTTAAAGTTAAACTGTTTGGGGGAAAGGAAAATAAGTTTTTCAAGAAAAGTCAATAAATGATATTTGGTATCTAGAATAGGGGGTGCAGAGAAAAGTTAAGGATTCTGTATGCTGCTTCATTTTTGTGGGGCAGAAGGGAAAAGGAAGTGAGAAATACCAATATTTCAGTATGAAAGATCCCCTGGGTAGCATCCATAACAAAAGGAGGTTCCCTTACCTGTATCTTAGAGACCTTGAAATAATGATGAGTCTGTGCATCTGGAGAACTATTATCTACCTTGCTCCTGGCTGGAGAAAGCAGATAAAAGATTTGGGTGAAAATACATTGGCAGCCCCACTAGGTAGACCAGACCAGAAAATCAACTCCACCAGAAGATTAGAGCTGCCCATCATTAAGGTAGGCTACAATAACAGAATCTTGAATTATGGCCTAATTGTGGGTAAGTACCTCTTAGCTATACTATAATCTGATTCATTCACATTTCTGTGATATCAGAGGAAGGTTTACCATATCGTGTAACCTCATGGCTAACTTAATTATGGTTTTGTCAGTTAACCAAATGTTTTAGATTTGCACGTCAAAGCAAATCTAAGACTGTGTTCAAACAACATATAAATTAAAATACAGTTAAGCTATTATTATTCTGTATGATTCCATATAGTGTGGAAACATAATGAGTATGAGCCTTGCAAGCTAACTATGATTAACACATGCAAGAACTATATGAAAGAATCCAACAGAACACTAAGCAATGAATTATTAGGAAACCAAGCGAATGGAAAGATAGGCAATACAGGTAGTCCTCGACTTACAACCATTCATTTAGCTACATTTGAAGTTACAACAACACTGAAAAATGTGACTTATGACCAGTCCTTACAATTATGACTATCACAGCATCCTCATGGCCATATGATTAAAGTTTGGGCACTTGACACCTGGCATGTATTTACAATGGTTACAGTGTCCTGGGGTCATGCGGTCGCCATTTGCAACCTTCCCAGCCAGTTTTTGACAAACAAAGAAAATGGGGGAAGCCAGTTTTGCTTAATAACTGCATGATTCGTTTAACAACTGCAGTCAGTCATTTTACAACCATGGCAAAAAAGGTTGTAAAATCATTGATGACTCCCCTAAAACAGCTTAGCAACAGAAATTATGTTCCCCATTGTGGTTCTAAGTCAAGGACTATTAGTAGTGATTTATTCAAAACCCCTCTTTTACAGTTTGTTTTGTTCTATCTTTGACAAGATGTGTGGATACTAACACAGTTGGTCTAAATGGAATAGGCAGTCTTATTATTTTTGAAAATTATGATTAATTGCACAGTAATCCTTTGAGAATTATAGGAAATAGAGAAAGGTAGGTTGTGGATATGGAATATCTTACTTGACATTCAACAATTGTTGAATATCCAACAATTGTTTAGATGCCTAAAGATCCATTTGCTCCAGCTGCTCTTTGCATAGAGTTTAATGTGATTGTTTTTGTGTGGTTTTGGACTGGTACAGTGATTTTAAAATATAGTTCTTTAATGCTTTCTGATATTTTAGTTTTGTGCTTTGCAAGCCCCTTTGAACAGTAGAAATATAGTCCTCAAGTCTAAGTATAAATAAAAGCTAATCGCAATAGGACAGCCATGCTTGTGAGCAGCTATCAGGAGGTGATGGAACTGTAATAATGGGGGAGAGAAGCAACTGCAAAGGGGAGTAACCACTTGGGGAAGCATAGGAAATAATCAGGGGGTGGATGAAGATTTTTGCAATTATTAGAACAAAGTTGATGTTGATGAATACATGGCAAGAGTAGGTTAGCTTTTCTTCGTTTTGTAGAAAAACGTACTTCCTCCCACATACATTGCCTTTCTATCGTGTCATCTAAGCTAGTTTTAGATTATACATATTTTTTGGCCTCTGCTTTTTTCTTGCTCTGTTCTACTTTTAGTAAGTCTTCTACCTGATTAAGTTCTAAATTCTGTCAAACAACTTCAAAGAAGCATAGTTTGTATAAGATACTAAGGGGTGGGCAGACAATTTGCAGATCATACTAAGCTAAAATAAAATAGGCTGGTTTAGGCAATCACTCCTGGGCAACTGCTTGCCCTTTGAACTAAATCCCAGTAGCTGAAACACAGAAAAAGACATCAGAAAAATGGGTGGAACAGGGAAAAAGAAAGATGGCCTGAGGATTGTGCAGTTGGCCAACAATGGCCCCTGTGGCTTACTTAGAATGAACAGGATCAAAACCGCTAAGTTACATTTAAAAAAAAAAAGTTTATGGAAGCTTAAGTCTCGTATTTCAGCCCTAAAAGATCCACCCTCTCCATGGTTTCAGACCCATCTGCTTTCAGAATGTGGCCCTTGATTTGCTTTAAAGTAGACACACATTCCAATTCAAAACAAGCACAGACACTGTTACTTGAGTCATTTTCTTCAGTCTTTCATTCAGTGCACTTTCTAACAAGCTCTCGCTTATTGTTTGTAACCCCCTCCCCCCATTTCTCAATCATGCCAGTTGGACTGTCAAAGGCTGACAGACAATCTTTGATTGTTTGTGTTGAATACAGCCCCAAACAGAAAGCCATAAGGCTGACTTTGACTTTGAAATAAGTGTGCCTCAGTCTTTTCTATAGATTTTAACCCTAAGCAAAAGAAGCCTACCCAATTCTATTTTGCCTCGAAAAGTGAATTCTCCTGTGCGGGATTTATTCTTTCCCAAGTTGAGTCTCTGCCTGGAATTGGCAACGACCACGGGGAATGTGACGACTTCTAAGCTGCTCATCTTTGCACAGCTGCTCTCTCTTCTCAGATCCCAAACAAAAAGACAAAACTCTGGGCTTGGCTTCTGCATCACCCCTCCCCTTTGGCCAAGGTTGCCATAGATGCTCCAGTGTGACATCACGGACTCTGAAATGCCATAAGAAGACAGCATTGTGCCACAAGCTCCCTGTCATGGGTTGCATTCAGATCACCTCCCAATTGTTGTGGCTTATTGCTCAGAGGCAAAGCTTCAGCTTAACCTCTGTGGGAAGAAAAATTCTATACCACCCTTTGCCTTCCATGCTACACACCAATTGCATCCATCCCTGACCTGCCAGGGAATCCTCAGACAATAAAACAAAAAAGAGCCTTTCTATCGATTCTGAGGCTTAGGCTGAAACTGATTAAACACAACTGGCAATTAAAACCAAGGAAAATTGCCTCAAGATATAAACATTCAAGAAACAAAATTGACCTTGGGGAAGTTAGCTGAGTTATGCATCCATGCCTCACCAGTGACCTACCTAAGGAAAAAAGCAGAAACGTCTGTGAGATGTCAATCCTGCCTCTCCTCCAAGAGCTTTAGATCAGTGTTTCTTTGTGATGTCCAAACATCAATTCTCAGAATTCTGCTGGTTGGGGAATTCTGAAAGTTGATGTTCAGACATTTGAAAGTTTCTGAGAATGATAAAAACTGCTTTAGATGGCACACATGGGATGCTTTCTGTGTTTTACCCTCACAATAGTAATGCTGGGTGGGAAACAGGTGAGAAAGAAAGTGATTGACTATAGTAAGTTTCCACAAGTGACGATGAAGTTGAATCTGGACCGTCTCCCAAGGCAGTTCAACACATAATATGGAATGATGGATAGAACGATGATGTCACAATGGAAAGATTTCTCTTGTTAGTAAAGGTACCAGAGGAAAAAAGATAATTTTATGCAGAGAGTAGAATCTCCTTCTAATAAGGAGATCATAAAAAAATAGAAATGGTTAAGCCTAAGGTCAGGTGGAAAAGAAAAATGGGAATCCATCTCTAAGGTAAGATGAACATGAATATTCATCCTTTGTGTTTGAGTCACATTATGCTCCATGCCCCAGAAGATCCTTTTTTTAAGGGGGGGGGTTTAAGATTTTTCAGTTAAACGAATAAATATGCAAGGAAGCTGGTGTACTGCAAATCAGCGGTCTCAACCTTTATCTTGGAATTAAAGACAATAGGCAATGTACTTTGTGTCTGTTGTTTGAAAGTATGTTCATCTGGTAAATGGCTATTTTATAAAAATAGGGCAAAGGGCAAGGATCCCTAATTTAAGGTTCAGTTTGCTAACCTTTAACAAATATTTAAAAACATTTGTACTGGATATATTGCATGATAGGGGAAGAAAGGCAAGTTTCCGGGCCTTTTTCAGTTAACTCTTCTTGGATGAGTAGTCTTCAGAGAGAGATGGAGACCTAGACAGCTCAGATAGGAAAAAAAACCCAAATCCTTGAGGTTCTTTGCTTCTCAGCAAGGAATGTCATGTGAAGCTCAAAACACTCATGATGGTGTGTCCAGAGTCCCCAGCTCTTCCTTCTCTCTTACATTCAAGTCAAATTTGATTTCTGGTGACTACCTGGACACATCCCTCCAGTTTTCTAAACAGCAGTTTTGGAAGTAGTTCACTAATGCTTCCTTCCCAGGGCTGAGAAGGAGTGATTGGCCCAAGGCAGTAGTGGGATTCAAATATGTGAACAACCGGTTCTCTGTGTGGATGCCGCTTCCGGAAGTCCATTCTGGGCCTGGGCAACAAAATATTAGCTGCCGGTTCTGCCAAAGTGGTGCAAGCCAGCTGAATCCCACCATTGGCCCAAGATCACCTAGCTCAGACATGTCAAACACAAGGCCTGGGGCCCAGACCCGGCCCGCGAAGTGGTTTCATATGGCCCACGAAGCCATCCTGGAAACAATGAGGGAACGGCCCCCGCTGCCTTGGCCCTGGCCGGCTGGGAGCCAATGTACAATTTTGTGGTGGCCATCTATGCTGAAACGCATTCAGTCTTAGCTCCACAAGGCTGTCTGGAAACAGCGAGGAACCAGCCCCTGCTGCGTCGCCCCCGCCCTCTGGGAGCATGCTGGGGAGGTGTCACCCTTTGTGAGGAATGAAGAAATGGACCATGCCTTGGTGCTTGCCCTGATCCCACCCCCTTCTGCCAGAGACCCTCAGATCTGTCCCACTCCTGCCCAGGCCCCCACAGGCACCCTTGATGCGAACAATGTAGAGCTGGCCATGCCCACCCAGTAGACCACACCCACTCCATCCACACCCACGCAGTAGGCCGCACCCACCCTGGTCACACCCACCCAGCCCCCCCGAGGGCAACCGCAATGCTGATGCGGCCCTCAATGAAATTGAGTTTAACACCCCTGACCTAGCTGGTTTGCATGTTTGATTGGGCATCAGAACCCAGCTCTTAATCCACTCTCCTAACCACTAGACAAAACCAGGTCTCTATACAGTACATGTTATATAAATTACATAAATGTGACAATCTCCTTTGAGCTGAATTCAATTTTCAGTGACTTCATAGATAAATCCATGGAGTTCTCTCAGTAGGAACATGGCTATCATTCTTTTCCAACTCCCAACTGCTGGAAGCTCCTGATGTCTCATCAGGAAAGTTGGGAATGTTGGCAGCAGCACACAGAAGAAGTGAGGCACATAGAAAGGAACATAGAAAGAGGTGAGGCTTTGATCTCCCAATTGCATTCATCATTTTGATATCCTTGACTACAGATGACCCTGATCCAATACTAACCAGATCTCATTTTGCTTTGCTTTATAAAATCTACCCAGTCTGCCAAATGCTGCTATTTAGCCTAAACCAGGAGTAGGCAACCTTGGCTCTTTTATGATCCATGCTGGCTCAGGAATTCTGGGAGTTGAAGTCCACAAGTCATAAAAGAGCCAAGGTTGCCTACCCCTGGCCTAAATAATGATGAAATTCTAGAGGTCAAAATATTGCTACGAATTTTCCTCTTCATTCACTTTCTTAAAGTATTGTATGTCCCATTACACATATATGAAACTGATGGACATTTGTGAAGGATTTTTCTTGGGGAGCTTCTCAGCAGTTGAATTCCTCTCTGGCAGTTTATTTGAAGTTTTGCTACACAGATGGATTTTTGCTATGTTGGTCATGATTACAAATCCTTTTTTATTTTAATTGCAATGTTTACATTTATCCGCATTGATTTAGCTTCCCCACGTTGAGGTAAATAATTCTGAATAATCTAAAGCTAAGTAGCAATTCAAAAATGTATTAATTAGATAATACATTTTAAAAGGATTTTAATTCTTATTTATTATTTATTAAACAAATCTGTAAAAGAGCGATTCTAGGCAGTATACCATAATACAGGAATAATATTCAGAAAAGGTCTGAATAGCATATATATTTTTCCCTGACTGCAGTTTTGAATTAATATGTTGTTTTATTATTACATGATGGGCTCTCATTAAATAATTAATCATGGGTTTGCTGAATAAGCCATCATGCTTAATTATAAACCACTGCATTCAATCCATAACAACTGGCTTCATGTAATGCATGAAATAGTGTAAGATAGTTTCTTGTTCTTAGTTAACTGGTTAAATAAGAGAAAACCTTGTCGATATTTCATGAACTGGAGTGAATGGTTAAGAGGTCTCTCAGTTGGTAGACAATCTTTTTTTTTTTTTTTAATAATATCCCATCACAATTTGGAGATGGTGACTGCCATCTGGAGGAAGCAGCAAAAGAACTGTGTGTTATGTGTGTAACAGAAGCTGGCAGTCTGAAGGACAGAAAGAATACAAAGACTTTGAATTGGCAGAAGGTGAAAGGATCTTTGAGTGCACAGAATCTGATATTAAGAATTTTGTGGCTTGCTTGAGGAAGTTGCTCCCAAACTACTTTATTTACTTATTTGTCAGCAGAAATTAGTGTGCAATGTTCCCTCATCTGAAGGAAATAAAATCTGCTGTAGTCAGTTCAGTATATCAGAATGGATGGGCAACCTGTAATCCGAGGGGCACATGTGTGTTGTAAACCTCATTTGGTAGCTTTCAGAGCTTCCTTGGCTGTTCTTTGGTGGTTAATTCGTATCACGATTTTGCAACTTAATGCTGTGGATTCCTGCCATTTTTAATTGAGAATCATGTGAAAATTGTTGTTATGCTCTAATAATGTTCTTATAAACGGGTAAAATCTGATCCTGCTGAAAACTCCCAATGACTGGGGCTGGAGGAGGAGGGGAATGAAAAATCCCAGTTCTTTATTTTTATGATCATCCTGTTTGTTGTTGCTCTTGGCTACTATAGGTTGTCCACCCAAGATGTTGTTTTCCTGACCAAATATGAGAAGGATAACATGAGGCCAGGGACAAGAGCCATTTCTTAGAATCTTTGGCCTGGGTCTTTTTATTTGAACGCATGGGGTATTAAGCAACAGAACAGTAGGAACTGCAGGCATCTGCTTCTCTGAAAGATCTGCTTTCTGCCAATTTCACTCCTTCTCTTCTGATGTTCCAAAGCTCTGGAGTTTGCAGGATCCTCATGACGACTTCCTCAAAGGCACTTTGCACTCCAGCCTTCATTTTAGCACTGGCTTCTGGAGGTAGGAAAAAAACAGCAAGAGGTGTCATTTGTCAAATGAAGTACAAGTGTCCAAATTCAGCCTCTTTGAACTCATCATCTTCCAGAGAGGTTGGCCTACATTCCCTCAATCTTAGAAAAATACAGTATTATTAATGGTTAAAAATGATGGGAATTGGATAGTGTTGTTTTGAAGAAAGCTTTCCTATTAAGTGGCCTCAGCATCACTCTTAGCTCCTCATCTACATTTAATGGGGAAAAAATGGGATAAAATGTGCTATAGGTATACTGTAGTAGTACAAATAAGTGTTATGGATCCTGAGCTACTACAACTCCAAATGCAATGCCAAGAAACTTTTGAAAAGGATACAGTTAAGCAGAAAACAGACAATGTAAGACATCAGAGGACAGTAGTCTGTAGAATGGGGAGAGAGATGGGGATTTAACAGAGGAGCAATCATTGTAGGAAGACAGCTATGATAATTCTAGGTTAAACAAAAATCAAATGTTGTCTGATAGCCTTTTCCAACTAACACATTAAATAAAGTATCTTCATCACTAACATCCTATTATTGTTCAGCAGAAGATAAATATTCCTGCATCTGGGTAGTATTGCAGCAACATTGAGATGATTATATATATATATATCATCATGTACCTTGAAGTGCTATTATTCTGGGGAGGAATCTATAAATCAATACAAGTGTATATTTTAGAGTGATATAAATATCAGGTTGCATATGAAATCTTTCTAGCTTGTTGCTATGTAGCGGACTTCCCCCATCAGATTTCTCTTGATAAGAAATGCTATACTATCATTATTCTAAACCAGCATCCATGGAAGACCCAGTTAGGAAAAGCCTGATTTAAAGTTACTTCTTGTGGCAGCAAATTTCTGTTTTAGGAAGGCTACAAAAATCTGAATCACCACTAGAGCAATAAAGAGGAATAGAAGGCTCTTGTTGCTTCCACCTAGGGATTGTCTGTATGTTTTTAATCCAAATCTTATACCTATAGCCCATCCCCTTTTGATATAATTTTAGAAGCATGAGTTTGATCTTGCAAACGACATTTTAAGTGCTTACAAAATGTCAAATAATCTCTATAGCCCCCCATATAAGATCTTTATTACTATCTCTGAAACATCAAACATCTGATAAAATTCAAAACATATTGCTTAAAAGCTTGCTTCCCATTTCTCTTTTTGAACTTTCTATTGAATCTTAAGGGAAACGCGAGGAGGGTTTAAAAGCTGTGGTAAAAAATAAGCACGTTCCTTTTAAATCCTCTCATCTCATATTTTTCTGGCTGCTAGTTTTTCTTCATCATCTCTGGTGAACCAAGGGGAATCTCTTCCCCACTGAAAGAAAGCATGAAGCACAGAAGGGGTGAGAAAATTTTTTCTTCTGTTAAAAATTGAGAAGGCTAGCTGCTGGTACTTGATGCATCTGTCTCAGTGTGAATTCCCTAATGGCAAATAACTATTTAAATAAATCAAACTTTTTCCAGGAAATTAAGGGTTACATTCCTTTTTTCCCCCTTTATCAACAGATGCTTTGCTATATCAGACCAAAAGGCCCATCTCTTTCAGCCATTCCTACAGAGGCCTACCAAATGCTTCAGGTGAACCCAACAGCGAATTAAGAGCACCATCCTGCTCCCGGGAGACATGGTGTTATTGTTTGAATATATACATGCCTCTCAAGATCAGTACGGTGCTCTCCAGCTCTTATCCCGCTCTTGGGCTCGCCTGAGGCAATTAGAGAGGTGAATTTTATATGAACAGTAAACATTATGTTGCTACTGTTTTATGCTAACTCAAGGATGCAAGGACAGTGCTTTAACGCAGCGATGGGGAAAATAAAATTTATGTTCATTTATGTTGAGAGACAATGGAATCCAACCCTGTCTCTGACACCAGCTTCTCAGCCTTCCAACAAGGGCAAAAGAGCACAACAGAATTCCACAATATTAGTTGTGGAAGAACAAGGGGCATGTTTGTATTAATTTATTTAACTGGTGTGTGAACTCTTTAATTATGCTGCAGCCTTGTACTTCCTAACTGCTGTGTCCAGAAAATAATGAAGGATGTTGAACTCAACATTTGTTATTTATTAGCCAGTTTTCTATACTGTTCTTTCAGTTATTGCTTTTCCTTCTCCACTGCCCAGAATGAGAGTGATTGCCCATCAGTACTATGGCTCTGCAGGGCCTAGCTATAGGACAACCCTGGAAAGACCTGCCTCCCTCCTCTGTAGAGTTAACCCTCTTCTGTCCTGGGGCTTCCCCAAGTGTTTCCCTATTTTAGTGTATCTTTAGAGATGCCCAAATGGGATGTGTAAGAAGGGGAAGGCAAGCCTGCCTAGAGAAGCCAAACCAAGTCCTGAAGTCAGACCGTTCACATTCTGGCTGCATTTGTGGATGTTCTGCTAGATGGCTGGGTATCTGCAAAGCCACTGGAAAAAAACGGTTTGCCTATAAAGAATAACTCATTCACAAATCAGGACAGAGTCATTAGTATGTGATTTAAACAGAATGGCAGAAGGATGCAGAGTGGCAATGGGGACAATAAACATGCTGATGTTGTTTCATGCCAACTCAGGGATGGACAGACTGTTCTTTAACTGGTGAAAGGTCCTGAAATAGCAATTCTATAGTTCTGAAAGGATATCTAGGGACCATAATCCAGAACTCAGACTTTGCAGGAGTAAATCTGATATCACCTTCCCTCCCACCTAAGCCCTAGCACTGACATCTAGGGCTTAGGTGGGAGGGAAACCTAAGCCCATCCCATCTAGGGGACTTTGGAAGGCTTATAAGGAATAGTGCTAGGAGTAGGCTGAGGAGAAGATCTGCAAAGATAATGAAATGACGATTTTTGCCATCATTTTACTTCTGGAAAATCACATACCTATAAAGAGCATGGAGTGTTTCTGTGCAAATAGCAATCCTTCTCTTTTTTCTACTTCACGGTTGGTCTGTAGATGGGGAGAGAAAACTATTAGCTACTTGATAGGGGGAAGGAGATAGATAGGGAAGTAGGGAAGTAGGAAGGAAGGGCTCTCTTCTAGGTTAACACTGATCAACAATCAAACAATAAATACCCCTATCAAGGAATTACCAACTCAGACAAACAAAAAGTAAACAATACCCTACTCAAGAACACACCACTAACAGTGACAGGGCCAGCCACTTGTCTATAGAGCAGACCCCACTCTCTTCCACTGCTAATAATGTTACCTAGTCAGGTAATGAAACATCTGCAAGAAAACAATCGAGAGCACCAAGGACCTCACAGGACTCTCTTCTAAATTGACAAAAGGCTAGTTAGATTATCTTACCAAAGATTCCACTTCTCTAGATCTGACAAGGTTTGAAAAATTATAATTACATAGCAATTCCAAACTGCATTGTGCTGGAAAAATAAAAAAGCCTCTCTCTGTGAGTAGATGATAATGATATAAATCAAATATGGTATTTAATGGATAAGATGTCTTAACTTAAAGGCTGGTAGGGGAACATAGGAAGACCCATGGGCCACACTGAATATATAGGCCAGTTACTTTCCATTCTTATCCTTGTAACTGTTATTCTTGAATTTCTATCTAGACACTTTTGTATTAAAAGGAGTTGGAAATCAGCAAAGCCCTGCACAATCATGCATTCTTCATTTCCTCTCTTTACTATATACTGTATCTACTGAATACTAATAGAACTGTTATCTCTGTAAAAACACAGTGATATATGAATGAGTCAATAGAGCCAACAGATTTACAAATTCCTTGTTTTCAAACATAAAAATATATAGATCTGAATTTTGTATTAAGGTTCCAAAATCTCATAAAGGATGGATTTTCCTCTCCCTTATTGTTCTTTTGAGCTTCTTTTGGCTCTTTACATTTTCTCCAATGGCAAGCTTGAAAATAGTATATGTAAATGTTCCCTGGCTAAATTGGTGCTGATGTTCAGTTCAACATTAGTTCAACATTCAGTTCTAATGTAGAAATCCTCAAATTCTTTTATGTTGGGCCCTCAGTACAAGAGCAGCAGCAGCAGCAGCAACAACAACAACAACAAAGATTGGCAAGATTTCCTGTCAGTCTGAGCAAGGAAACACACAAAAAATAATTTAAAGAAGATATAAATTTAGTGTAGCTTAAAAAACTGATTCCATTCATGTGTGCATAAGATGGCCTCTTGTATTCTTTATCTCCTGTTTTCAAAAAACATTAAGTATGCCTCTGAACTCCAAAATATTGCTTAGTCAACATCTAATACAATTGCTTTATATAGTCTTCACAAATATTTAACTAGAAAAATGAAAAAAATAGTTTTCTTCATAGGAAGAAGACATTGGTAAAAAGAGCAAGCCAATCAGCATCACTCATTGTGGTAAAAAGAATATAGGTTTCCTGACTGGCTGTCTCTTCAGTCAATCAATGCCATATAAACTTGCTTTCTTTTTATAATTGGTAGAACACCCAAAGGTGCTTTTTCCAAAAAGCAACTGGACTTTCTTGGTTTTTTTTCTTAAGAACTGAAAAAGCTTCCTAGATGAGAAATGAAACATTTTCAAAGAAAAAAACAAGAAAGTCCAATTGCCTTTTGGAAAAAACATTTTTATGACCTGGATGATTGGGAACCTCCATAGACAATAAGCAGAACAGTTTTCCTATTAAAAAGAATGTAATCTTAAAATATGGCAACTGCTCTTATACTGATAATCAAATGGGCAGTGAAAGAATCTCTGGAGATATTGGTCGTTTGTCCATTTTCCTTTGGTCTTTCAACATATTTAAGGCTGATCTTTTTCATTTTCTATACTGATAATCAATTTTAGTTTTGATGTCATTTTATGAAGAACATGATAGAATAAACATAATTAAAGGAGGTAGAAGGATATGCAAAGATAGGCAGAGCAAAAAAAAAAGTGAATTAGAAATGCAGAAAATATTGGAAGAGAAGCCATACATGAGACCTCCCTCATTTACGGCTGCTTTTCTTACTAGGGAAGGGAATAAACAAAACTCCAGTTGTCTGGTGAAAGCAGAAACCAAAAAAGCAACCCAAAACACAGAGTAGCAACAGAGAAGCTGCTGGCTTCAGAAGCAGCTTGAACAGATTGCCCATTACATCAGAGCAGGAGAAAGATGGAGAGGTCTCGTTCAGGATGCTGAGGTATGAAGGCAGCTGATGCCTCTGGCAAAGCGTAGGAGGCAGGCAATAACAGGGAGCAAACACCCAACAGGCTTCTGCAGACTGGGACAAGATTCTCGGTAATAGGGAAGGAGGGAGGGAAGGAAAGAGGGAAACTAATTAGAGCCAGCCTTTCACTCCTGTTGTTTACTTATTAACAGGCTCTGTGTTTCAGCTCTACCAGAGGCTGCACGCTATGTGCATTTGCTATAAGGCAACCTAAAATGTGGGAGCATTTTTAATCTAGGGTATATATAATTTTAATTATTCAGAAGACCATACTCAGATCACATTGCAGGGAAAAGTGTTCTTATTGCAATGATCGCTTTATATTGTACAATTTAATCTACTTCCTGTTTTCCCAATGCATCCCATAACATACACTTTCACATCATCATCATCATCATCAAGTTGGAAGGCAGGAAACCCTATACCATTTTAGACAAATGGCTGTCCAGTCTCTTCTTAAAAACTTCCAATGTTGGAACATTCACAATTTCTGGAGGCAAGTTGTTCCACTGATTAATTGTTCTAACTGTCAGGAAATATCTCTTTAGTTCTAGGTTGCTTCTCTCTTTGGTTAGTTTCCATCAGTTGCTTCTTGTCTTGCCTTCAGGTGCTTTGGAGAATAGCTTGACTCTCTCTTCTTTGTGGCAACCCCTTGAGATATAGGAACACTGCTATCATGTCACCCTTCATCCTTCTCTTCATTAAACTTTTCATACCCAATTCCAGCAACTGTTCTTATATGTTTTAGCCTCTGTACTCTTTCTAGAGTCTCAATATCTTCTTTACATTGTGGTGACCAAAACTGGATGCAGTATTCCAAGCGTGGCCTTACCAAGGCATTGTAAAGTGGTATTAACACTTCACATGATCTTGATTCTATTCCTCTGTTAATGCAGCCTAGCACTGTGTTGGCTTTTTTGGCAGCGGCAGCACACTGCTTGCTCATATTTAACTGATTGTTCACTAGGACTCCGAGATCCCACTCAGTTACTATTATTGAGCAAGGTACCACCTATATTATACCTGTGCATTTGGGGTGTTTTTTTTTTTGCCTAAATGTAGAACTTTACTTTTTTCACCATTGAATTTCATTTTGTTAGATAGCGCCCAATGTTCAAGTCTGTCAAGATCCTTCTGTCTGTTAAGCCTATCTTCTGGAGTGTTGGCTATTCCTGCCAGCTTGGTGTCGTCTGCAAATTTGACGAGTTCCCCATCTATCCCCTCATCCAAATCATTTCCTAACAGTCTCTAGCTTTCTGACTTTTGTTCATTCTCTTCAACTTCTGTCTTCATATGTCATGTAGGAATAGCAGAGCAAAAGTCAGTAAGAATCATGGGAGAAAAAAAATCTTCATTCCAGGAAATGCTGAGCATTCACACTATTATACTACAATCTGAACCAAATGAGAAAACTATGTGAGCAACTGAATCTCAGGAATATTAGCAAACAGATTGTATGGTGGGAAATATGAAAAGAAATGGCTAGGTGAATGAAGTCCCTTCAGGAGATCAGTTGCAGAATATGACTACCACAAATATGTAAAGTATATGCCAGTCCCCCTGCATGGGAGGGAGGGCAGCATCTGAAGTTCCCGAACTTCTCCTAGTTGTGGAAAGTTTGAATCTAGAGCCCCACAAAAAAATTCTGTCAGATTGTAGTAATTACTACTATGAAAGAAAGGAAGAATAAGCAATACATACAGAACAACATTAAACTGCATTAAATTTAATGTGTGTCCCCTTTCCTTGTAGTTCTTTTCTTGGCCCCTATTATGCCACACAAATATACTAATAACTCACCTCATCAATTTTGTTGCCCACCAGCATCTTCACAACATTTTTCTTGGTATAGATCTCTAGCTCCTGTAGCCAGCTTTCCAGGCCCAGAAACGTCTCTCTCCTGGTAACATCATAAACTGCATAATGGCGTAAACCAAACAGATGCCTTGTGTTTACATAGAACATTTTTAGTAAGCCCAAAAAAGAGAAATGGTTGATTCACTTCTAATCAGATAACATAAAGTGATTGGGCTGGATAGAACCACATCTGGTTCTACTTAGGTTTATGAGCAATTTTGGATTATGTTCCAATCATTTCTAACAATTAACCATCCTTAGTGAGTTAGTAGGTTCATATCATCTGGAGGGATTTAGGCAAGAGGAAGGCTGTTGTGATATTCCATGCAAAAGTCAGCCTAAATGATGTACATAAAAGGGGTAAGCATTCCAAGGCCTCCCAAACATGTTAGCCTTCAAGTGCGGACCGGCAGCAGATCGCTCCGTAGCTACGGACCCGGCAATGTGGGTACGGGGCATTTTGGGGGTGCCTCGGGGGGGCTTGCGGCGACGAGCGGGTGGGCGAACCCCCGCTCGGACCCGTTCTAGCCTACCCGGCCCATTTTAGGCCGTTTTAGGCCCGCCCTGACCCGACTCGGCTCCTCTTCAGCCTAGGCCCGTTTCCAGCTCGGGCCCAGCTTGGACGCCGGCCGCCGGAAGGACGCGGCCTGTTCGACTGCGGCCGGGAGGACTCGGGCGGTGTAGAAGGACTTGGGCGGCCGGGAAGAACCTGGGCGGCATGGAAAACTCTGGCTTTTGGACGGTATGGAATGACTCCGGCCAGGAAGATCTCGGGCGGCCTGGTGGTGGAGGCCTGGTCTGGACTGTGTTATTCGGCTCCCCGGCCGGACGCGGGCCTGTTCCGGTTGGTCGGGCGGCCTGGCGTCCGGCCTATTTTCGGCCCGGGCGGCCTAGAAGACCTTGGCGGCCTGGCGGTTGGAGACTTGACTTCGCCCCCATTGCTCGGCTTTTTGGCCCTGGCGCTGGCCGGCCTGGTTGGTTGGGCGGCCTGGCGTTGGTTGGGCGGCCTGGTGTTGGCCCTGGTTCAACTGAGCGGCGGAAGCTCCGGTTCCGGCCCTGCCCTCCCCAGCCCTGGCTCTTCAGCGGAGGGCCTGGCACGGCCCAGAGGACCCAGAGGGTGACCTGTCTTCGGCCGTTGGAGGCCTTGGTGACGACTGGAGGGCACAGGAGACGTGACCTCGGCCTTGCCTCTGGCCGGGGGAGGATGGCCTGGAGGATCCTGGCTCTGGCCCCGTTCCAGCCGATGAAGAACTTGGTGTGGCCGAGACTGAAAATCCTTCCCCCCCCCCCTCTTCTTTTGATCTCCCACAGCCGGACTTATGATTTAACCAATGTATCCGAGGACGGTCCTATTGGCTCTGCGCGACTCACCCCTCGCGCAGGCCTGGCCCATTAAGATCACAAGGGCCCACCTTGAGGATGGGGTTTGGAACCCCGAGAGGTGGCATGCTGCGGGTGTTAATAGGAAATTATCGAAATTGGCCAAATTAAGGTTCTTTTTAAAGGGGTGTTTTAATAAATTTTTAGGGGGAACAAGGGAGGTTGGGAGGGGGGAGGATCACCTTAGGTCAGGACCAGCCATGTCTGAGGGTTGCGGTGTAGAAAGGGTGGGGGGGGAGGG